TCCTCCTCCTCCTCCTCCTCCTCCTCCTCCTCCTCCTCCTCCTCCTCCCTCTTTCTCCTCCTCATCCTCCTCCTCCTGCGCCCGCCCTGTGGCGGCCCCATCCATGCCCCCACCACCTCTCAGGAGGGGACAAAAACACACAGACACCATTCATCGCTGACTCCGAGGAAAACATGGGAAAATGTGGGAAGTGGGGGGGGCGACAAACACCCAGAAAATATGGGAAAATCTGGGGAACCATTTGATTCGTGTGTATTGATTTGTGTGTCCTTGAGCCCCCACCATCTCGACCCTCCAGTTGGGGATGTGCCACTCGAAACCCGAAGGAAACGCTCCCCATCCAGGGTGGTTTCATGGGCCACTGAGGCCCAGGCCATGCCGTTGGGGGTAATCTCAACCCCCCAGTTGGGGATATGCCACTCGAAACCGGAAGGAACGATCCCCATCCAGGGTGGCTTCATGGGCCACTGAGGCCCAGGCCACGCCGTTGGGGATAGGAGGTCGGGTAATTAGTTAAACGTTGCTCATGGGCTGACGGGGGGCGCGCCACGGGCTTGTCGGAGTACGGCGTCGAGGAATCGCAAGCACGGAGGATTAAGGCGTGTGGGTCTATGTCGGGCACCGTTTCCCTGCCGAGTCGGGGCGCGCCGTCGCCAGATGGGGCTGCATATGGGTGCCATGCCCCGGGGGGCATCCCCCCCGATCCGTGATCGATGTTGGCGCGTTACCGATGGAAGGGCGTCGAGTAATGGAGGATGACGATTAATAAATGACCGGGGGTCGTGTTCACGCGGCGGCGCCCGGGATGACGATTAGAAAAAACCAGCCGCGGGCTGGACAACTATTTTTTAATCGTTCTCCCCCAGTCAGAAAGTGGTGCAGAAATACCAGAAAACTATGTTTTAATCGTTATCTCCCATTTTTTATTAATCGTCATCCCGCATTAAGCGATGGTGCGCAGGCGGGCCGACTGGGGCTCTCAGGCGTCCCTGGCACTTGTTTGGGCCCTCCCTGCCAAGATCTCGCACGTGATCTGCCAACCAATGACGAAGGCTACGTTGATGCTTGAAGGCGTCCGCTTGTAGCTATCAGCTGTGCGCCAAGCGACGTCCCGAGCAACAAGCAAACGACCAAGCACAGTTCGCAGTTCATGCCAAGCACTAGCGTGACTCGAGAGGCTTTCGACGAGGATGCAACAACAATACGTAACGCCTGTGTTACTTCAACTTTGAGTGTGGTGGGTGGGGCGGGGGGAGTGAGGAAACGGGAGGTCGAGGAGCATCCGATAGCCTTCCCCGTGCTGTCCGGTAGCCTTTTTGGTCCAGGCAGCTCCACACGCAGGGGCGCGCACGACGCCCCCGACAGGCTGGACGGGCCTGCCCATCGGGCGAGGCGCAGGCGCGAGAACGTGCTCCAGAGGCGAGGGGATGCTGGCCAGAGAGAGCGTGCCACCAGCAGCGCCAGCGCTGCGGCCTGGGGAATATCGGCGGCGAGCGAGGGGGGGAAGCGAGAAGGAGAAGGCCTTCTCAGAAGGCGGCGGGACTTCTCAGAGGCCATCGCGCCTCCTGAGAAGATTTCTGTGTCTTCGGGGCAGGCCTAGAACACTTCTCAGGAGTTCTGGGGACGTCCGAGCCTTCTGGCAAGGCCTTCTCTTTCCCACTCCCCCCCAGGCTCGCCGCCGAGAATACGAGGTCAACCCGGAGGCCACAGAGCCCCACAATCTCAGGGCCGGCCCGCAGCTCACCGCGCCTGTGCTGGGGAGCCTCGTGGCCGGCGACGTGGTGGACGTCGTCGAGATCGCGGCCGACGGCGCGGGCCTGTGGGGACGGCTGGCCCGACGGGGCGGGGGCCCGCCGCTGTGGACGCTGCTCGCCGGCGGCGGGGGCCGGGGCGCCCCGTTCCTGAGCCCGCTGCCCGCCGACGCCCCGCGCGGCCGCAGCCGGAGCCCGAGCCCGAGCCTGGGCGCTGCGTGATGGGGTCGACACGTCTGGGGGGCGAGGAGGGGAGGAGGGGAGGAGGAGAAGGAGGAGGAGGAGAAGGAGGAGGAGGGGGGGGTGGAGGGGGTGGGAGGAGGGGAGGAGGAGGAGGAGGAGGAGGGGGGAGGGGGTGGGAGGAGGGGAGGGCGCGAGGGTCGGTGGCACGCGGGTGGACAGACCTCCTGCCTTGACACGTCGATTCAGGAATTGGCCGTTTTCGGTTCGCGAGGGGGGCGTCGCGGCCGTCATTTCTGCGGGTCCAGGTCCGTCGGTCTCGTTCCCAGGCCGTTCTCACGAAAGGGAGGTTTACCAAAGGGAGGTTTGTCCACCGCGGATGGGGGGGGGGGGCGGCGGATGTCAGAGGAGGAGGAGGATTCTGCTGGGTGCTGCGGATCGAACGAGCACGATTTTTTATCCGCGGGTCGCACCTCTTCCGGTCGAAGCTGAGCGGTCCGCGCGAAGCTTGAATAAACCAGAGATGGGGGAGGAAAAGGGGGGCGCAGCCTCAGAACGAGGCCCGGACCGAACGAACACGATGCCCCATGGAGTCGCGCCGCGGGTCATGTTGGCCGCGTCGGGCCGTCCCCGAGCCGAGCCAGAGTGCCGTGCCCTCTGAGGGCTAGCCTCAAGGGGCCTTTCCAGTGGTGGGATGTGTACCCTGCCAGAGTCTCTGTAGCCTACTCCCAATCGCCCTTTGGGCTCCAGGGCAAGATGGGGAAAATAGGCCCGACCATCTGTCGCGGGCGTACCTGCCACACCTACGACAGAATACGTACGATTGGCGGAACACAAGTTTGTGCCCCGCTCAGAGGAGAGGGGGATGAGGAGGAGGAGGAGGAGGAGGAGGAGGGGGAGAAGGAGGAGGAGGAGGAGGGGGGGAGGGGGAGGAGGAGGAGGAGGAGGAGTGGAGGAGGAGGAGGAGGAGGAGGAGGAGGAGGAGGAGGAGGGATGATGATGTCCGCGCGCAACCCTCCTCTCTCGTTTTCCCCTGTTTCGGCCTGGGGGGAGGCCCTCGACACCATCGCTGGACTCGTCTCGAAATCCTGGTCAGAAAGCACCCCAGGAGAGGTCCAGGGAGTAGCGGTATTGGTACCTGGGGGAGGGGGCAGACAGGCGCACTTCTTCTTTGCCCCACAGAGGCCCCAAGCAGCCCCCCCCCCGGGGCCCGAAAGGGGCGCGACTGGAAGCGCTCTTCTTCTCCCCCCCTCGAGCGACGCCAGAAATCGGCGGCGAGCCCAGGAAGGAAGTGAGAAGGGGCGGGGCTTCGTAGAAGGCTCGGAAGTCCCCTGGCCTTCTGAACAATTTTCTAAGCCTTCCCGGAAGACAGCAAACTGCAGAAGGCGCGAGGGCTTCAGAAGTCCCGCCGCCTTCTGAGAAGGCCTCCTCCTTCTCACTCCCCCCTCCTCGCTCGCGGCCGAAACAAACGGGGCCGTCTGCGCCTACACTGCCCCGTACGCTGCCCGCGCTAAGGTCGCGCGTGCAGGCGCCCTCGCCTCCCCCGAAGCGTGTCGCGCTGGCGGCCCTCGCCAAGCCGCCGCGCACGGTCGCCGTGCCATCTCGCAAGGGGCGGCCCGTGTCTTGGATCGCCGCTCCTCCGCCGCTAATAGCGATGATAATGATGATAATGAGAATAATAATGATGTTGATAATAATGATGATACGCATGATAATAATGATAATGATGAGAATGATCATCATTATCATCATTATCATCATTATCATCATTATCATCATTATATACTCCCCGTTGAGCAGCGCCCACCGAGCCCGCCCGGCGGGCCCGCCTCGCCGCACGGCACCGCGCCGCGCGCCGCCGAGGGCGTGGACCGCGCCCTGGCCTCGCTGCTGCTCGCCGGCGAGAGTCCCGGCCGCCCGTCGCCCTTGGGCCGGGCGCTGGGGGCCCTGGCGGCGCACGAGGCGCTCAGGCGGGGGCGGCGACAGGGGCGCATGGCCCGCCTGAAGGAATTGGTCTGCGGTAGCTGCTTTTCCATAATTAGTACAGGTAGGTTATAAGTATGTTATAAGTAGTTCACGTAGTTATAATACGTAGTAAAACTATGCTATAACTAGTTACAACTTGTTATAACTACTTAGGTAGGTTACAACTACGTTTTTAAGTAGTATACAATTAGAATAACGTAGTATGACTATGATATAACTAGTTATAACTTGCTATAACTACTTACGCTACTAAGTAATATAATAAGTAGTTTTATAACATCGCTACAACACAGGTGCAACTATTGTATACCTGTGGTATAACTGGTATAACTAGGTGAGCAATAACCAGTATAAGTAGGTTATACATACTCCAGATTTCGTAATAGAGGGAGGGGGGTCTCATTTCGGGGGGGGTCTCTTCCAGGCTATCTTGGAGGGCCTGGGGGGGTCTGGGGACGATGTTTTGGAGGGTTCTCCCACGGGGGGGGGTCTGAAATGGTCTGTCTTGGAGGGTCCAGACCCCCTCCCTTTTATTACGACATCTGGAGTAGGTTATAACATGCCACAACTCGTTGCCGCACTCGGCCCAGGGTCGAGCAGCGGCGGGGCGCCCTGGCTCGCCGATAGGGCCCCACCAAGCAGTGTTCTCTACGGACCTCTTGCGGTGCCCACGACGTGCTCTTAGCCCGGGTCGGGCGAAATGGGGGGGACTGGGAAAGGGGGAGTTACGAAATTTGCTGCACTTGGCTCTAATATGTTATACATAGTATGGGATTGGGAAAGAGGGGGAGTATGTTATACATAGGTTCTAATATGTTATAAATAGTTGCCGCACTTGGCCCAGGGCCTCGAGCAGCGGCGAGGCGCCCTGGCTCGCCGAGAGAGCCCCACCAAGCAATGTTCTCTACGGACCTCTTGCGGTGCCCACGACGTGCTCTTAGCCCGGGTCGGGCGACAGGGGGGGATTGGGAAAGGGGGGGGTTACGAAATTTGCTGCATGCAGCTGGTTTCGGCCTCACCGAGGGGCCCATTCCTCGATGCATGGCCGCCTCCGGCGCCGGGAGGCGCCTGGAAAAGCAGCTACGTGAGCTGATTCTCAAACCCCCCCTTTGCTATCCCCCCCTTTCGCCCGACCCGATTAGCGCAGTGCCGGCGGGGCCTGTCTTGTTTTACCGCGTCGGGCTTGTGTTCTAAGAACCGTGTTTTTGTTCTTAGAACATGTTTGGGTTCTACGAGCATTTCGTGGCAGGACTTTTGGAATGCCGGGATGGTCGGTCCCTGCTCAACAGGGGGAGCAGTGCGTTCAAAACCGGCGGTAGGGACGGGCCGATTTCCCAGGGGTGCCCTTGCATCCTTGCCTCTTGCTGCTCTCGATGGCCAGCCCCGCTCGGGAAGCTCCGACATGGGCGTCCAAGGCCCTTGCATCCTTATCGCGCATCCTGGCTATCAGTTTTGATTGTGCATGTACCCAGGGGCGCCGATGGTCCATATCTTCGGCGAGGCTCCCCAGCGGGATACGTGTAACGCACGCCCCTGGGCTACTCGCCGCTCTCGTCGCCGCCGGCATGGCGGAGGGCTCGGGAGAGCTGAGGAGTGCGGGCGATACTTTTGTTGCATATCCACTGCGTCTCGAATCTTCGTACTCCCTCCCCCAGGGACCCAAGGCGCAGCGGATACGGATAAGCGTCCGGCCTCCAGCAAGGCCGGGCGTTGTCCATGTCAATTGCATCCTGGGGGTTCGACATTCCTCCCAGTCGGGGTTCAAGGGACGGGGGTCTCTGCAAACGGGGGTCAGCCAGAGCGCCAGATCTTGCAGGATCCTGCAGTGCGGGGGTGCACTGCACCGGGTTAGGGCGCAGGATCCGGCAGGATCCTGCAAACCCTGACTGACCCAGGTTTGGATTTACCCGGGTCAGTAGACCCCCAACCCAGAACATCCAAGACCCTTTGGGTGTGGATGTAAATCTCGCCCGCTGAGGAGGGCCGAGCGCCGGCTCGAGCGCGTCGGTCGGGAGCTGCTCGACAGGCAGCGGGCCAGGCTGGCCGCGGAGGCCCTCGGGGAGCGCGCCAAGCAGGCGGCGCTCGCGAGAGCGAGGGCCAAGAGGCTGAGGATGCTGGAGGCCTGGAAATTGGCACCAACACAAAGACAGGAGTGTCTCGACCAGGCAAAAGGTAGTCCTAGATGACGGACCTCCGCACTGTCGCTTGTGCGCGGAGTTGCCTGGACGTTCGGTTGCGACCATGACTTGAGCTGGTGTGAGGTCGTCTCTTTCTTTTCCCCCATCCCCCTCTCCATAATACTCTGCGGAAGAAGTCGCTCGGCCGCCCAAGAGGCCCGAGCATGGCCAACATCACCGAGATCGGGATCATCTTTCCCCGATGGAGGTAACCTTGAGCATCCAGAACACCAAAATGTGTGGAGCACTAATTTTTTTACAACCGTACACAAATCTGCTCCGCGCAGATTTTGCGTAAAAGCTCGCACGTGGAAAACAGTGCACCCCTTGGCTAGGGACTTTGCCCCCCACTATAGGGGATCGTCCGTTCACTTGTTTGTCCAATCCCTAGCGCACGAGACGAACAACAGGTTGTCCCATAACTGTGGCTATGCACGGTCTTGAACATGTAGATGCGTTTGGCGATCCTCCTCTTTGCTTTCCAAACGTCGCAACGGACCCTCCGAAGTCTGCATCTCTGTAGTTCCAGTGTTTGGCCGGTCGTCTCCCAGACGAGCAGGGTTCCAGATATAAATGCAGCTTGGGTTGAATACGGAATACGAGATCATCTGTCAAGGCCAAAGCAGTGACATGTTGCGCAAAACGTATATAATGTTTCAACAGCGTGTCGTTCGTGAAGGCAAAGCGCTTGCCAGCGCAGCGTAGCAGCGTGACAAACTGCATGCAGAAATACATAGAAGTCTCGACAGGGTCGGACCGTTCGCAGAACTGTTCCGTAAGTTCCACACCGCACGGAAGTAATGCCGAACCATGCCAGCGCTGCACCTGAGTTTGTGTCCTTGTTTGTTGCCTTTCACTGCACCTGGGCTCCAGTGAGGGAGCCTGTTTGGCGCGCCGTTCGGATTTGGCCTTTCGTAGAACGCTTGCATTAAGCCGTGCAGCGGATTAATTATCGCGTTCTGCGCGCCTCCTTGAACCTTCCCCTAGAGGACGAAATACCAAATCAGAGAGCCCAGAACATCGGCAGATACACCTAAATCAGCGCAGCGCAGCCAATCCACAGTCAAACTTCGCATACTTGCAACAGGAACCATCAGCAAGAGGGAAACGCTGTGTCCAAAAGCAAAGATTGCCGTCGCGGTTGGTGCGCCACGACGCGTTGTGGCCGATCTCAGTAAGGACCTGTGGGCATCAGGAGCCGCGCTCCCTCCTCCTACCCCTCCTGTTCCGCCTCCTCCTCCGCCTCCTTCTTCTCGTCCCCCCTCTCCCTGTCCTCCTCCTCCTCCTCCTCCTCTTCCTGTTCCTCCTTCTCCTCCTCTTCCTCCTCCTCCTCCTCCTCCTCCTCGTCCCCCCTCTCTTTCTCCTCCTCCTCCTCCTCCTCCTCCTCCTCCTCCTCCTCCTCCTCCTTCACATTTCTCCTGCACCGCTTGCCAGCGGCAGCTCGGCTGATGACGAGCCCCTTCGGGACCCTATATGGGCAGGTATGCACTCTCGCAGTGAGCATGATCGCATGGGGGATCGTGATATCGATAATTTGATCGATCGGGAGTTCGATATCCGTAAACGCTTCGCCTCCTGCCGTTGGCCCCCTGAAGCAGCATCGGCAAGAGAAATTGATATCCGGATGATATAGTTGAATCCAGTGTTGCATTTTGAACTTGCCTCTGTATGTTGTGCACTGAGGTTCCCACAGCGAGGGTTTATGGTTTTTTGCCGAGACCACAGCGTACTTTACGAGGGTGTATGGCTTCGGGGACGCGAAGATGTATTATCTTAAATATAATTTACAAGGGTTGATGGCTTCGGAAACGCGAATACAATGTCATCTACGAGGGATGATGGCTTCGGGGGCGCGAAGTTCATGTAATGTTTAATGGCGTATTGTATTGGGAACGCAAATATTGCATACATTACAAGGGTGTATGGCTTCGGAAACGCGATTGCGGTGCAATTTGCGAGGGTTTATGGCCTACAAGCGTTTGTGGCCTCGGGGACGCAAGTATCGCGTAATTGTCGATGGTGTATGTTTTCGTGGAAACGAAAACGGCGTATTTCGCGAAGGTGTATGGCTTCGGGGACGCGGATATTGAGTAATTCACGAGGGTTTATGGCCTCGGGTACGCGACCATCGGATAATTTACGAGGGTTTATGGCCTCGGGGGCGCGAGTTTCAGATATCTTACGTGTCCCACGCCCCCCCCAGAAATTCTCAGACCCCTCCGAGGAGACGCTAACCAGGCTGATTTTCGGCTCCTCCCCCCCTCGCGCGGTCTACAACAAGGAACAGTAAGCAGCATAAAGCAATATTGTAGCAGTGGAAACTGGAAATTGGAACTGGCGCAGGGAGCAGCAAACCATCGTCCTACAGCTTGGTGGCCCCATAAGGGGGCCGGCGGATCAATATCGATAGGGTGATCGTCAATGAGAGCGATAGCGGGATCCATAATTATGTCGATCGTGAGATCAATTATGAGATCGTCATTGGGATCGATCGTGACATCGATCGTGAGATCGATTGCGAGATCTTTTGTGAGATCGATCGCGGGATCGACCGAGCGACATCGATAGCGATATCGATCGTGCGATCGATACTGAAGTCGAGTGCGAGATTGGTAATGGTCAACCGAGTTCGATATATTGAGATTTGTCGAGGAAGATCGATCGTAATATCGATCGAGTGAGATCGTTGTTGTTTGGGGGGGCGGCATCGCCCCCCTTCCCCCCCATGATGGGGGCCTCTGTCCCAGCAGCGCGGTACACCTTAGGCGATGCTTAAGAAAGCTTAAGTTTTCGGCCAGAGTCTCGATTGTTCTTAACTTTTCAATGTAAATCCCAAGATTTTGATAGAAGTTCTGGGTTTTATTCAAGTTCTGAGATTATGAATTTCTTAACCCATGATTTCTTAACCATTTCGCGTGGTGTACGCAACGCTGTTGGAAGAGATTGCATGCCGGCGCGGTGCTAAGGATCGCGCGGGTGGGGGGGGTCGCCCGCGGCGAGCGGAGGGCGCCGCTTCTCTTTTCTTTAGGAGGAGGAGGAGGAGGAGGAGGAGGAGGAGGAGGAGGAGGAGGGAAAGGAGGAGGAGGAGGGGAAAGAGGGGAGGAAGGAGGAGGAGGAGGGGAGGAGGAGGCGGAGGAGGGTTGGAAGGGAAAAAGGAGGAAAGCGAGGGAAGGACGACCAGGCCTCCACCGTCGAATACGCCACCGCTTCTCTTTCCTTTAGGAGGAGGAGGAGGAGGAGGAGGAGGAGGAGGAGGAGGAGGAGGAGGAGGAGGAGGAGGGGAAGGAGGAGGAGGAGGAGGAGGGGGTGGAAGAAAGGGAAAGAGGGGGGGAGGAGGAAAAATAGCAGGAGAGGGAGGAGGGGCCGGGTCGCTTGGTTGTTCTGTGGATTTTGGGGGTTGCCAGCCCATCCTCGGCACATCGGCGCGACGCCGAAATTCCATTAGTTGTTTGTGAATGTATGCATTGGGCAGTTCAGTTTTACAACGCAGAGTCGCGTGCATCGGTCTTGTCAACGTGGCGGATTTGCAGATTTTCACAGGCTGCGGGCAGGGTCACCACGCACGTTGCGCTCCCTGGGTTGTTCCTTGCGGCCTCCTCTTTTTAGATCCTGCTCTGCCAGCAACCCCCCGCGCCCTGCAAGCCTGGCAGCTTCAGCATCTCCTTGAACATCTTCCAGTCGCCCCTGATTTGGCAAAGAACACCCCTGAGAAGGAAATGCCCCTCGCCCTGTGCTGTTTGGCCCTCCGTGTGTCGCTCGGCCAGAATGGCCCTCCATCTTGATTGCGTGAAGGCCACGTGTTCGTTGCGATATGCGCGAACGACCATCTGACGATTTCGCAAATGCCATCCAAGGTGATTTTGGACAGCTGGCTCTGTATCATTCAGAGGTTGTTGTAATGATCGGTCCTCTAAGCCAGGTAGGAGAAACTATACTATTTCTGCGGTCTCGTTGCGGTCCCAATTCCAAGGCACGCCATCTTGCCAGATTCCGCAGGGGGCTGTGCCGGAGTCGTCAAGGGACGAAGCTGCATCGCTGTAGTGCGCCAGCGACACAGCATCAGATCCAGAAGTGCCAGCTAAAGCAGACGCGTGGCCGAACAACGCCACACGGTCCATAATCTCGTGGGGCAGCATGACATGTGCTGTCTGGTTCTCTTCAACTTGCTGTTCAACGCTCCACACCCGCACGCCGCACTCGCACAGGGGTGGCCAGCCGCCCGTGTGGAAAAACTGCCGAAAGAAACGCGGCGCGTTCCAGGAGCATTTCTCGGGCGGCATTTCACCGCCCACCAAACCACCCCAACCCAACCCGAAGGCCCCAATTTGCCCTCCATTTCCAGTTGGGGTGGGTCGGGGAACATCGAAAAAAACACGTATGGAACCCATACCCCCCCCAACCCGAAATCTGGGTCTTCGGGTTGGGTTGGGGTGGTCTGGTAGGTAGTCAGCATTGCATCACCAACGCCGCGCGCGCCAGAGTTGTGCATGCCATTCGTCGACTGAGCTCCCCTGGCGCCTGACACAATGTTGCGCGACACGGGGTCGGCGGCCTTCGCCCTGGGGCGACTGTCTGGCGGCAGCGCGCGCCTATCATGATGCATATTGCGTTTGGACTGCATGCTGTTGCTTGCTCCCCTGAGCCAGGAGCTACGGATGAGGTCGCGCAGGCGAATTCGGGAGATGGTACACCTTATGGAGGCCCCCCCTGGATAGGGATGCGGGAGGCGAAGCGAGGTGAAAGAGGCGCAGATCCCCTTCGGTAGGGGTTCGCGCGGAAAGGAAGCGGTGAGAGAGCGAGGGGGGAGTTCTGAGTGAGAGGTCCCTTGCCAAAGGGTGCGCGCCATTATTTTGGCTGTTGAATGAAGGCATGTGCCTTTCCATTCCAGCGGTTGCGCGCCGCGGAAGGATGTGATTGCGTGCGTGTGTGGAAAAAAAAAGGCTCAGCCCACGTACCGCGAGGAGCCCTTGTTCGCCAACAGGATGCCGTCGAGATGATGTTTTGTGTTGGTACTCATAATCTGAATCTACTTGGGGAGCTTTTCATAGAACCCATTATTCTCGCTTGCCTCGTGCGTATTGCTCGCTCCCTCGATGAGGAGCTCTATCGCCTTCTCGCGCGCGTGCGCGTGCTCCAGGTTGTCGTCAGCCTCCGTCGCCCCGGTCTGCCGTTGGCTTGTGCTCGTCTCCTTGGCGTCGCGGGCACGAGCGTGGAGTGTCGCGCGGACCTTTCTCATCGTCAGGTCAGTTTGGTACCCTCGACCACGAAGACTTCAGGACGAGGAGGAATAGGTGGGCGAGAAGGAGAAACATAGGACGAAAAAGAAGAGGAGGTGCCGCCGGGCGCTGGCGCAATCGCATCCTTTTTCTTCTCGATGGTTGGCCACAAAGGGGTTCTCGAATTTGGTCTCCGCACCGCCCGTGCTGGAGCTGCTGGTGAGCTCGCCCATGCGGCCCGTTGGCCACTCCAGCCCTTTGGCCATATTGACGGCGCCTGCCCCAGAGAATTGTTTCCGATTGGCCGTCTCCAAGCTGTCCTCCATCTAAAAAGTCATGGAATTCTTGTGGAACAAGATACGTTTCTTGGGATCCAGCTTCGGGGGGAAATGCTCCTTCGTGTTGTGCGTCGTGGCATTGCCCTCCCGCCGCTCCCAGACGAACGCCCGAACTGTCTCGCGAGTGCCGATGACGGACAAGGACATGGTAATTTATTTCAGTGCCTGTGGCACGGTGACGCACCCACGCGTTACCCATTTTTCGTGTTCCTCTAAATTCTCGCAGTCTGCCTTGGAAGAGGGCGCGCGTTCGAGTGTGCTGTTCTTGTCGTTCTGGAAGTTTGGTAAACCAACAGCAAACAAAAACACGGCGCTCACCTGGGCTCTTCGCAGCTCTCCCGCACTGCTTGCGCTTCTCTGGCCTTCTCCAGCACCTCCGCAGCTTTTGCACTGTTGCACCTGTGCTGGAGCCGCGACCGCATCACGAGCGCATCTCGTGCGCCTCCTTCGCGTCGGGCCCGTCCGCCTTCGCGCGCCTGCCAGTGTTGCAGCCGTCCTCCCCGCCCCTCGTCCCGCGCACCGTCCTCGGTAGAATCCACAGAAGTGGCACTGCACACGTGAAACAGGAGGCCACGCCAGAAGGCGCGGGCAGATTTTCCAATTGCGCAAAAAGTTGCCAGAGGAGAGCATGATACACTGACGAGGAAGTGCTGCCCTCGAGCCGAGACAGCTGCACGGCTTCAGCCAACACCCGCCGTTGTTGCAAGCTACGTGCCCCTCCCCCCCCGATGTAAATATTGAGCCCCCCACCGTGCCCCGCCAGCCCTCCAGAACGCCCCCGAGGAGGGGGCATGGCAGGGGCGTTCGTGAGCGTCCCTGCCTGTCAGAAGTCTGATCAATGAGGCAGAGGGGTGCATGAGTGGGTATATGCCCCTTATCAAGGGGTACGTATGACATATAAACAAAAAGGCTTGTCATCCGCCGAGCTGCCGCCAGGAAGCGGAACAGGATGCCTCGTGGAACTCTCTTGGGGCTTGAACTGCCGTTAGGTAGCGGCGAAGGAGGTTCAAATGTGGACGGCGCAAGTATGTTGAACATAGTTGCGTTGCTTTGTTTGTGCGCCATGGGCCGCCAGCCGCAGTCAGGCGCGAACCACTACGTCATTAATCTGTATGCCGACTTCAGGCCTTCTCGGCGTTGTCGGCGGTGTAGGTGTTCTCTGGGATCGCAAACGTAATGCGCTGCGAAGATTGATCATCCACTAGGTAACTGGTGAGCGTTTGGTTTAGACAGGGCGCGGCTGTCCTTCTGATGCCTGGCGCGGCCGTGGCTCCTCTTCGGCGTTTCCCCCTGCGGTGATGTTTTCCTATTCTTTCCGTTTTTGTCCTCCCGCTTGTCCTCCTCCTCCTCCTCCTTGCTCTTCTGACTTCCGAGAGGCCTCGGTGTTTTATTCCCTCTGTGCCCTTGCCTTCCGATCGGCCTCGGCTTTCTGCTCCCTCTGTCTCTGCCTTCCGATCGGCCTCTTCGTTATGTTTTCTCCCAGCCTCTGCATTCCGATCGGCCTCTGCTCCTCTGCTTCCTCTCAGCCGCTCCCTTCCGAAGGGCCTCGTCGTTCTGCATCCTCTCAGCCTCAGCCTTCCGAACCGCCTCGTTCGTCTTCTTCGTATTACCCTTTGCCTTCCGATCCTCCTCGTCCTTCCTCCTCTGCTCCTCTGCCTCCTCTCCTCCGGGCCCCTTTTCCTTTTCTTCGCGCCTCTCCCCTTCCTCCTCGTCACGCGTCACCCTCTGCAGGCTGCTCCAGCGAGGCAATTATCACCACCTTCGCTGCCGACGCATCGCTCCCGCAACTCCCTCCTGCTGCGCGGCGCGCCACCGTTCGCATCCTCATGCGATCGCGCTCGATGCGTCTGTTATCTTCTTCCTTTCGCTTCCTGGACGCCTCCTCGGCACTCTGGGATTCCTCCTCTTGCCGCTTCAGCAGCGCAGCCTCTCCTTTCCCCCTCTGCCTCTGCAGCACCCTCTCCTCGTGCCGTGTTCTCTCCTCGGGGCGCTGGGAGGCTCCTGCCGCTCGGGCAGTTGCTCTCGCTCCGGTGTCCTCCAAGATGGTCGGGACCTGCGTTTTGCCATGCCCGCTCTGCTCTTCCTCTCTTCGGCCTCCCTCTGGATCCGCTGCTCCGCCTCCTGCCTCCGCGCGCCTCCGCTTCCGGCAGCTCCTCCCGCGCGCGCTCTCCTCTCTCCTTGCTGGCGCCGTGCTGCTTTTGAGCCCGCCCGGCGGCCTCTTTTGCGCCTCCTCTCCATCTCCTCCCCTGCCTAGCCTCGCTTGGACGTGTGCATATTGTTCTCGGCGAGAACCATCGAGGACCATCCTGGACCATCGAGCAGAAAAAACACGCACGAAACCGAAAAGTGCACGGGAAATGGACGTCCGAGCGACGGCAGGTCCTTTCCTTGCTGGCTCTGTGCTTCTTTTGAGCCCGCCCGGCGGCCTCTCTGCGCCTCCTCTCCCTCTCCTCCCCTGGGAGGCCGCTCGCGCTCTCCGCCTCCGTGGTTCGGCGTTGGGCGTGGGGTCGGAGCGCTACTGCGTGCCTCGTGGGGTGTCGTCAGGGGGGTCTGAGGGGGCGTCGGCGGAGCATCTGCGAAGCCTCCTGGACCTTCCGAAGGGCCTCTGGGTGGCTTTTGGGGTGCGAGGGCTCGATGTGGCGATTTGTATTTCCCCTCTGCGGCCTCTGGACCCTCTCTGGTCATCATCGCTGCGTCGCCGCCGTCGGCGCTGCTGGCCGCCGCCAGCGCCGGCGCCAGGGGGCCAGGGGGGGGTCCAACCCCCCCCCCCCCCTTGGACCCTCTCTGGTCATCGTCGCTGCGTCCCCGCCGTCGGGGGGGGGGGTTAGAGACGGGGGGGGGTTAGGGGGGAAGGGGAGTCCCCCTGGTTCTGATCGACGGCGCCGAGTGTTAGGGCCCCCCCCCGGTTCGAAACGCGCCGCCGAATGTTCCCAAGGCCAGCACCCGTGAAACGCGCTCTCTCGTTGGTGGTATCTTCTGATCATCGAAAATGAAAAAAAACCTTAACCCGAATATCACAATGTAGACGGTTCGCTTCCTTCTCGTTGAGGTGCGTCTTCTGCGCGACGATGGTCCTCGTGAGCGCTCTCGTGCTCAATCGCTGCGACAACTTGCACACGTCCAACAGTGATGGAATGGTGTCCTTGCTGTTCTGCTCCGTAGTACCATGGATGTGGTGTGTCTGGATCAGTAATACACGCAGATGGACCAAATCGACCATGCTGTCATTGAGAATGTGGCACACGCGGTAGCGTGGCTCCTTCTTAGAAGTGTTTGTCATGCCGACGCAACAAATGCTCCGAGCGCAGAGTTTTGCGGCAATTCGCGTTTCAGCCAGAGCGGCTGCGACGAGGAAGAGGAGGATGAGGAGGAGGAGGAGGAAACAGAAGAAGAAGAAGACGAAGATGAGGAGGAGGAGGAAGAAAGGGAGGAGGAAAGGTAGGAGGAAAGGGAGGAGGAACAGGAGGAGGAGGAGGAGGAGGAGGAATATTTCCCTAGCAAGGGGTGTGCACCGAAACCCATGGGTGCATGTAACACCCCGCCAAAAACAACGTGAGACCACGTACCAATATATTGGTGCGCGGCGCGAGCAGTTACATTAGAACGTTGGGATCCGCTCGGAGGACATATAATGCTGTTCCACATTTGGGATGCTCAAGGAACCACCGATATTCCTAGGCGTCCTCCGATCTATTGTTTTTCAATCCGTGGCCCCAGGGCTCCCGATCGACTCCTCAGGGGCAGTTTTTGCCTGGGGTGTATCTGTCATGGTCCTGGGGCCCGAAAGCGGGTCCAGGGGCGCCAATCGAGGATCGCCGCTTGGACTGGACAAGACACATTGTCGGAGGTTCGGGGTGGTGTTGGCGGTAGCCTCTGATCACCGAAAACGAAAGAACCCCTAACCCGAACAGCACCGTGAAGACGTAGCCTCACTTAAGGGTCCCCGTCTTTGCATCGAGGACCAGGTGGTCTGGCCTGATGCAGCTGCAGCGCAGGCCCGCTTTCCCCCCGACGTGTTGGACCTCCCAAACGTTGCTCCGCTCCCAGAGGGGTAATCAGGGCCCCTTTGTTGTTCGTCCCCCGAGCCTCCCAGGATGCGCGACCGCTGGGACGCGGTCCACACGCCGGTCGAGGTGAGGCGCCTGCGCGCGCGCGCTGCGCTCGAGGACGGCCTGCGCGCCGCGCAGGGCCTCTGCGAGGAGCGGCTGCGGCAGCTGCGGGCCGCCGCCGCCGCGGAGGTGGCCCGCGTGCGGCACGCGCGCCTGCTCCGCAGAGCCACGGATCGGGACGGCCGAAGCGGGCACGGGACGAGTGAGCACTGAGATTGGCAGGAGGAGGTGGAGGAGGAGGAGGAGGAGGAGGAGGAGGAGGAGGAGGCGGAGGAGGAGGCGGAGGAGGAGGAGGAGGCGGAGGCGGAGGAGGAGGAGGAGGAGGAGGAGGAGGAGGAGGAGGAGGAGGAGGAGGAGGACTCGCTGTCGGTGTCGCCGCGGGCGTTGTGCATTTGGGACGGAAGCCCGCCCGCCCAACAGCGGCCGCTGCCGGGTTTCGACGACCGCTTGTCGTTGGGCATCGTTCCTATGATTGTTCGTATCCGTATCGGGCGTCCAACAAGGAGGGGCAGCACCCCCTCGCTGCCAAGGCCCAGGGGAAGGAAAGGTGCGAAGGCACCGCTGCCCGCTGCCCTTGCCCAGTTTTCGCCTTTGGGGTAGCACGGCTGGACACGCCTCGATAACTTGGCCGGAATGCGCCCTGGGAGAGGTCTGGGGAGCAGCGGCGCTGGCACGCCTCGGCTCCCTGAGATCCCGACTTGCCCTTTCCCGCGCCGCCCCGGCCGAGAGTCGTGGGTGCCCACAAGGGGCGTGATAGCTACACTCGGGGCGCTGAAGAAGGAACTCTTTTCGTTGGGGAAGGACTTCGTGTTCCTCATCATTTGTTTCACAGTTTGCCTCCGGTTTTGCCTTAGGTTTCCGATGAGAAGTCGAAGTTCAACTTCTGGAGACAAGGGGCCTCGTTCTTTACGTACGGTTCCTTAGGCCTTAGGTCAGAGCCCCGACTGTGGGGTGGGATCGCAGGCCCCCCTCGCCTCGCCCTCTCGCCCCTCGTCCGCGCACGTGCCTTGTCGGGCCTCTCATGTAGAGAGGCAGCCGGCATCGCTGCTCTGCTGATGGCCGCTACGCCAGATGCGGCCGCCGGCGGCGGGACAGGCAGCGGCGGTCCAGCGGGAGACGCTCAGCTGGCGATCGCGCTGGCTACCATTCGGAGGCGACGACAGGGGCGAATGGCCCAGTGGCAGGGTCCTTCTCGATCCGACCGATCCGCTTCGATGTCGACCCTGGCCGGTCCGATCCGATTCGATGCCGATCTTCCGGCGATCCGATGCGGCCTGGCCCGGCGCAGCCGATCCGACTCGACTTCAGCTACGTGCCGGCGCGGCCCGATCCCACGCGCAGCTCGATCCGATGCAGTCTGCGCCCCCGGGCCGCTCGCCCCCGTCGTCGGCTCCGGGCCATGGAGGCGGCAGCGGCGAGGCCGCACGCGCGGCGCCTGCGCGAGGGAAGCCCGGGCGGCGCTCCCGCCGAGTCCGGCAGCGGCTGAGCCGCCCGGAGGGCCAGCGCCGTGCCGGCGGCGGGGCGAGGGCTCTCGCCGAGCAGCAGGCGGCGGCGTGCGCGGCTGCAGGAAGCATCTGATGGGCCGCTTGTCCACCACCACCACTACCACAGGTAGGACAGGGAGGCGGAGGAGGAGGAGGAGGAGGAGGAGGAGGAGGAGGAGGCGGACCTCCCCATCCTCCCGTTTCCCCCGCCCTACCTGTGGTGGGCCTGGTCTGTAGAGGCAAGGCCCGTGCCTTCTAAGAAGGAGCCTCCGTCTAAGAAGCCTTCCCCCTCCCCCTGCCCCCTTGTGTGCGCGCCGCCAGCCCACTGTTGGATATTGTTGTCGGCGTACTTGGGAAGCTGTCCGATGTCGGTAACCCGTCATCGGGCGGAAAACGATGTGCACGCGATCGGGGGCGCGGGCTCCATGGCGGCCCCGCTCGCGGGAACAAGTCTGCTCATACCGCCCCTCGCCCTCCATGTATTGCGAAGGCCTTACGGCCGGTGCCGCCGACCGTGCAGACGAGGACGACGAGCAGGGCAAGGACGTTGAGGAGCAGGAGGCGGAGGACGTCAGGGAGCGGGATGGGGGAGGAGGAGGAGGAGGAGGAGGAGGAGGAGGAGGAGGAGGAGGAGGAGGAGGAGGAGAGGAGGAGAACAGGAGGAGAACGGGAGGAGAACAGGAGGAGGAGAACAGGAGGAGGAGGAGGAGGAGGAGGAGGAGGAGGAGGAGGCGGAGGAGGAGAAGGAGGAGGAGGAGGAGGAGGAGAGGGGGGAAATGAATAGGCGCAGGACGAGGCGAGCAGGGCCGCATGGTGCAGGAGTGGTCCTGGCGTCCTGGGGCCTGGGGCCTGGGAATCCTGGATTTTTTGGGGGGCTGGTCCCTGGGAGGAGGTTCTCGGGGCTGGGTCCTGGAAGGTCCCAGGGACCTCGGAATTCTGGGTCCTGGGGTGTCCAGTGGCCGAGCGTCCAGGAGGCCGGTTCGGTTCTGGAGGGGGACGGAGGAAAGAGGAGAGACGAGGATGGAGGGAGGAGGGGGGAGGGAGGAGAGGGCCTGGTAGAATGCCTCTGCTCTTGGCCCGTCTGAGGCTTTGTGTGGGCCCCTGGACCCACAGGGGGGGAGTCGCATCTGACGCGGGACCCCCCCCAGGATCCTCCCCGGACCCCCCCCGGGACCCCCCCCCGCAGGGAAGGGATCAAAGGGAAGGGCAACATTGCTCTTGAGGGGGAGGCCCTGGAAAGCGGGGGGGAGCGGCGACGGGCCCAGGGAAGAGGGGGAAAGGGGAGGAGGGGAGACGGGCTCAGGGAAAGGGGGAGCGCAGGGACGGGAGACGACTGGCCCAGGGAAAGGGTGGGCGCAGGGACAGGAGACGACGGAGACGACGACGAACGAACGATGGGAACGGACAAGCCCCTCAATCATGCCGACACATGGTCGGCGGATTTTAGGCCCAGAGGGGCCCAGGATCCTCGTTCTCCCCACCTTCGCTCTTCTCCTCGGGAGAGGCCAGGAGGGGAGTTATGACTAGGATGTGGTGGATATCATGGCGGGGGCCATGATATCTCCCCAAATTTCATGGCGCGTCTTCTTGTTTCAACACGTTTCTGGCCCTCCCATTAGCTGCGCGCATGCCGCTGCTCCCTCTCCTCCTCCTCCTTCTCCTCCTCCTCCGCCTCCTACTCCTCCACCTCCTCCTCCTCCTCCTCCGCCTCCTCCGCAGTCGACTCCGAGCTCCGGAAAATGGGAGGCCGGACACCAAGCAGGTTGTGGTCATTACATCCAGGGTCCCCCGCCGGCAGGGATACTTTACCCACTGCTCGCGCGGCCTTCTTGAGGGAGGGGGGGCGACACCACCACCGCTACCGTCACCGCCACCACCACCACCACCACCGGCTCCTCCCCCTCCTCCCTCCTCTCCCCTCCTCCTTCACCTCTCCTCCTCCTCCCTCCTCCTCCCTCCTCCTCCTCCTCCTCCTCCTCCTCCTCTCCTATCTCACTCTTCTCCTCCTGCTCCTCCTCCTCCTCCTCGTCCGCGTCTTCGTCCTCATCGTCGTCGTCGTCGTCTCCGCCTCCTCCTCCTCCACCTCCTCCTCTTCCTCCTTTTCCTCCTCCTCCTCCTCCTCCTCCTCCTCCTCCTCCTCTTCCTCCTTTTCCTTCTCCCTTTGGAACGAATGCACAAGAAACCCGCCGCAGGCGCCGAAGTTTTGGCTTGTTCAGTGAACGTAGTTTGGGTCGCGAGTGGGTCGCGGGCTCTCCACCTCCACCTGGAAAGAATTCAAAAACATTCCGCCGCAGGCGCCGAAAATTTTGATTTGTACACTGAACGCGGTTTGGGTCGCGGGCGGGTCGCAGGTTCTCCACCTGGAACAAATGCAAAAGAAACCCGCCGCAGGCGACGAAAAGTTTGGGTGGGCCGCGGGGTGGGTCGCGGGTGGGTCGCGGGCGCGGTTTGGGTCGCCGGTGTGTCGCAGGTTCTCCACCTGGAACGAATGCAAAAGAAACCCGCCGCGTGCGCCGAAAATTTTGGGTGGGTCGCGGGGTGGGTCGCGGGTGAGCCGCGGGTGGGTCGCGGTGGGTCGCGTGTGGGTCGCGGATGGGTCGCGGGTGGGTCTCGGGGTGGGTCGTTGGCGGGTCGCGGGTGGGTCGCCGGTGGGTCGCGGGTTAGTCGCCGGGGGGGTCTCGGGGTGGGTCGTTGGCGGGTCGCAGGGTGGGTCGTGGGTGGGTCGCGGGTGGGTCGCGGGGTGGGTCGCGGGTGGGTCGCGGGGAGGGTCGCGGGTGGGTCGCGGGTGGGTCGTGGGGTGGGTCGCGGGTGGGTCGCGGGGCGGGTCGCGGGTGGGACGACAGCAATAACAAACAACAAGCACAACAACAACAACAACAACAACAACAACAACAACAACAATACTTTTAAGATTGATCGCCCTAATATGCTCGAGTGTCCAATAACGCGTATTTCCCAAACCCTCGATACCCGCCCTCTTCGTGTTCGATCGAACCCCTTTTGTGGGTATACTTTTCTTCCCTGCAGGCCGGGCCCCGGCAAGCAGCGGGGCGGCCGCGGTCCGTCGGCCTGGCCAGCGGCAGCGCTGATCGGCGGGGCGGCCGCGGACCGTCGACCCGACCCCAACAGGGACGGACAGGGGACCGACCACGACGACGACGACCACGACGACGACGACGACGACGACCACGACGACGACGACGACGACGACGTCGAAAACGACGGCGACGACGACGACGACGGCGACGACGAGCGAAAGCGAGAGCGAGAGAGAACGACAGCAGGGCCACGAAGGGCACGAAGTAGGCCACGAAAGGCGACAGCGGGGACACGAAGGGAATGCGTATGGGGCCACGAAGAGCGCGAAAGAGCGGGGGCCACGAAGTGCAGAAATTGCGGGGCCACAGAAGGCAACTATGGGGCCACTGAAGGTAGCAACTGGGCCACGTAGGACAGTGATGGGGACACCAATGGCGACAGCGGGGCCACGAAGGGCATGCACATCGGGCCACAACGGGCGCGACTCCTGGGTGCCTGGGTGTCGGGGGCGCGGCGCTTGCGCAAATTGCAGGAAAATTTAACGCAAGGCCATTCTTCAGTAAGTTGCAAGCAAGTGTCCAGCGAAAGCGCGACTCCAGAGCGCAGGGAGAGCGATTCCTGAATAAATTGTCAGGAAGTCCCAAGCGAGAGCGCGATTCCTGAATAAAATGCGAGGAAGTCTCGGGCGGGAGCGGGGGTCCTGGCTAAATTGTAAGGAAGTCTCAGGCGGGAGCCGTTGTTGTTGTAACCCGGGGGCCAGGGGGCCAGTTTGAGCAGGAAGACTTTCCCTGTCAAAAAACAGGGTGCCAGCGTCGATGGGGCACATTTTTATCGAGAAAAAACAGTATGCACCGGTGGGGGGAATCAACAATAATTATTCTTCAGAAGTGAGAATTCAACCAGAATCCGCATCGCGGAATTCCACTTCAGCCACGCACCCCGGGACAGTGAATGACCGTTCGGTTCAGCCCCCTCACTCTGACTTTCTGGGCTCCAGTGGGCCATCGTGGAGCCTGGTGAGTTTCACGATGTGGCCTGTATCTGCAGGTTCTCGCGGCTCGCCTGTAGACCCCCGAAAAATTCGCGGTTTGGTTCGTAGCCCTTCGCTGCAGTTCGCTCGCGAGCTCCTGTGTGACTCGGGTGCCGGGGTCCCCCACTGAAGTCAAGACGTTGAAACAAGTATCAGTTCGAGTTTGGAAGGGATCCGTTGTTCCTTAGGTCCAGGTCTCCCTCGTGCAACCAGTCGCTTATTTGGGGGGCTGTGAGGGGGCTTCTGTCCTCACTGCGCGCTCCTCCTGGTCCTCTGGCTTTGGCCTTCTTGCGCTGCAGGGTGTGGAGGGGAGCGGCGCTGGAGTCTTGACGCGACGTCTTCTGCTCAGCTCGGCGCCCCATGGTAGCTGAACCCCCTCCCCTCTCGCCCCTCCCAGCGCGGCCGACGTCGATGACGGAGGAAAAGGAGGGGGAGGAGGAGGAGGAGGAGGAGGAGGAGGAGGAGGAGGAGGAGGAGGAGGAGGAGGAGGAGAGGAAGGGAGGAGGAGGGAGAGGAGGAGGAGGAGGAGGAGGAGGTCTCTCTCTCCATCCAGATGCCTCTGAAGGGCACCAATTCCCTGGTCACTCGGGTCAGATAGGGCTTTGAGCCAGAATGGGCAAAAAGCCCCCAGGCCCAATCCTACAGCCCGGTATAGATGATCCCCCTGCATGATGGATCCATCGTTGGACCACTTGAGTGTCCAAACGAAGTCGTGGCGCGTATGGCGTTCAATGCGGCGATGTTCGAGGTCCTGGTTTACCAAACCCGCATCGGTTGCCAGGGAGCGAGCGCGCGCACATTCACACGAACATCACAGGACTCGCACAGGCGCAGCGCATACATGTTCTTCGTGCGTGAGCCAGCGCCGACCGTCGAGGAGGGAAGGGGTTCACGTTTCTGTGCCAGCGTTGGTGAGTACGTCAGGCGCGGAGGCGTGGGATAGCAGCATGTTGCACGGCACCGCTGCGCAACCCCATCTGATGCTCAAGAGAAGACGGAGTCCTTGCTGGCTCTGCTCGGCCGCTGGCGGTGGGCCTGATGGGGTCCGGTGCCTCGCAAGGGAGGGGAGGGGTCTCTCAGTGAGCATCGAGGGGAGAAGCACGATGACCATGACCAGGCGGGATTTCATCGACGCTGATCCTGGCCATGGCCCATGCCGGCTGTCGCCGATTCGCGAGGAGGATCCACGA